AAAAAATTATTAGGAATGCGCTGTATACAATCGCTCCCATGCGTATGACCCGAGCCGACCGACTAGCTCACACCTGTAGTACTAATTGTCATGTGTGTGACTCACCACTGAACGGTGATTCGGTGAGAGATCACTGTCACGTAACCGGTAAGTATAGAGGCGGCGCTCACAGCGCGTGTGACCTCAAGCTTAGAATCAACCCTAAGATAATAAACATCCCCGTTGTCTTTCACAACTTGAGAGGGTACGACTCTCATTTGATCATGCAGGCCATCGCGAAAATCGATGGTAATATAACGTGCATCCCCAACAACATGGAGAAATACATCTCCTTCAGCTTAAACGGCCTTAGGTTCATAGATTCAGTACAATTCTTACTGTCGTCACTCGACAGTCTGGTCAAGGCCAATGATACCTTCCCTATTACCGATCGATACACAGACGCCGAGACTAGACCCCTGCTTATGAGGAAGGGTGTGTACCCTTATGAGTACATGGATAGTTGGGTCAAGTTCGCCGAGACCAGACTACCCCCCTATCAGAGAATTTTACAGCAATCTGACAGACTCGGAAATATCCCAAGACGATTACTCACACGCGATTAACGTATGGAATAAACTGGGTTGTGAGAATCTGGGTGACTATCACGACCTATACTGGAGGACAGATGTACTGCTGTTAGCCGACGTGTTTGAGACGTTTAGGCGGACATGTTTCAAGCAGTATAAACTCGACCCGCGATGGTATTACACCAGCCCAGGTCTGTCGTGGGATGCCTTGCTTTAAAAAGACTGGAGTTAAGTTGGAATTGCTTACAGATTATGACATGCACCTATTCATTGAGAAAGGCTTATGCGAGGCGGGATCTCCATGGCAACCAAGCGATACGCGAAAGCAAATAATCAATACGTGAAGGGCTACGATCCAAGCAAGCCAACCAATCACATTCTCTGCGTCGACGCCAACAACCTGTACGGCTGGGCTATGAGCCAGTATCTACCCACAGGGGGATTCGAATGAGCGTCACATGAGGTCGATGTTATGAGCATCGCGCCAGATTCGAACAAAGGTTATATCCTCGAGGTTGACTTAGAGTACCCCAAGGCATTACACACATCACACAACAGCTACCCCCTGGCCCCCGAACGTATGAGGGTTAACCCAGACTGGATGTCTGAGTACCAACATAACTTGTTAGGTGGAAGGGTGGCAGACGCTGAAAAACTCGTGCCTAACTTAATGAATAAGACCAAGTACATCGTTCACTATCGCAACCTACAGCTGTACCTGTCGTTGGGTATGAGGCTGACCAAAATACACAGGGTGCTCGTGTTCAACCAGAGCCCATGGATGGAACCCTACATCAGAATGAACACAGACCTCCGAAAGCTTGCCACCAGTGATTTTGAGAAAAATCTCTACAAGCTCATGAACAACTCGGTGTTCGGTAAGACTATGGAGAACCTGAGGAAACGCGTGACCGTGAAGCTGGTTCGGTCGAATGAGGAAGACAAGCTCAGGAGACTGATAACCAGTCCGGCATTCAACCGTAGCAAGATATTCACCGATGACCTAGTTGCCCTACACATGAAGAAAAGCCACATAAAATTCAACCGGCCTGTTTACGTGGGGATGAGCATCCTCGATTTATTATTATTTAAAGGTCCTAGGTAAGATGAAGGACGAGTGTGCTGGCACGCCCATAGCCGAGTACATAGGTTTGAGACCTAAGATGTATTCCATACTGAAGGCCGACAATAGTGAGATCCGGAAGGCTAAGGGTGTTAAGAAGTACGTGGTTAAACAACACATCAAACACGCCAGATTCAAGGAAGCCCTGTTCAAGACCCGTACCTTTAGACATAAAATGAACACACTTAGAAGTGATGGGCATAGGATATACGGACTGACAATAAACAAAACGTCCCTGTCGCCTATGGACACTAAACGTTGGATAGCTATTGATGGGATAAACACGTACGCGTACGGGCATGAGAAAATTGAACCAAGAACATAGATATATATGTCACGGAACCAGAGAAAGTTTGAGGCTATTTACTATAGCCCGTGTGGGTACTGGAAAGGAGCTAGCGCTGTAGATAAGCTGGCTAAAATAGCCGAAAGTACCCGGAGGAAAGCCAAAGCGTGGCGAAAAACAAGCCCTGTGGCAGATCTATTTGTCGCCACCAGGCTACGTGCCTAGAAGGAAGTTTGGAATTAACATACCTAATAGCGTTCACCAGGCAGACCTACTGTTCCTACCCCACGACAAGAGGTACAAGTATGCCTTAACCGTAGTGGACGTAGCCAGTCGCTACAAGGAAGCCGAGCCCTTGACCACGAAAGATTCTGCCCAGGTGGCCAGAGGATTCGGACGCATATACAAACGCAGTCCGCTGACGTGGCCAACAGAGCTGCAAGTTGACCCCGGGCGGGAATTCATGGGTGCCGTGTCACACCTGTTAGACAAACACGATACAAAGGTCAGGCGTGGCACGGCTGGAGCCCATCGCAGCCAAGCCATAGTTGAGAGATTCAACAGAACTTGGGCTGAGCGTTTATTCGGACATCAGTATGCGAGGGAGATGGCCACCCCGGGAAAACGATCGACTGAATGGGTCACAAGGTTGCCTAAGGTGGTGTCGGCAATCAACCATGAAGTCACCCGTCTCACCGGCAAGAAACCGGTAGACGCTATCAAACTAAAATCAATAGTGGCAGAGTCGGCTGCTCCATTGCGTGGGAAAGAGAAACAGATACCAGATAGGGCCCTAGTGAGGTATCTATACCAGCCTGGGGAACACGAGGGTGATAGCCGTAAGCGAGCCACTGACCCAATATGGTCAATCAAAACTTACAACATAGATAAAGTTGACATGAAATCAGACGAGCCTAACTTGTACTACTTGAGGGATGGGCCAGGCAGAGGGTTTGTAAGAGAAGAATTATTGATCGTACCGTACGGCACAGTGTTACCACCAGTCAACACGGCATAGATGATACAATCCCAGGATAGACCCGTTAAACCAACATACTTCAGCCAAGTCCCCGGTAGCTCAGTCGGTTAAGCGGCGCTGCTGTGAGGTGTAACATTGGGCGTTCGCATCCCGCTAGCGTCTGAAATTTTTATAGGTCGGGAAAGCAGTAGATGTAATGGTAGCAAGAGCTAAGGGTCCGACCAAAGCCTTATTTGGGAAATAAGGCTTTGCAGAGGCTTTTGTTGGACTTGGTCCAGGACTATCATTGTATCTACTACTTACTATTTTGAAATATTGTATGTGACAAGTGATGAAGGGCAAATTCAGGGATCGGTTTTAACCTACTTTCCTGCTGCCATTTCCAAACCTGAAGTTTTTGAGTTAACATCATCTATTTTTAAAGGAAAATATTAACACAATTATTTTTAATAGGGGTAAATTATTCGAAAAGTTGATTTTACATCTTGCAAGAGAACTGATCAAGCGAAATGGAGCCAACACTTAATCTCAAAATATTTTTTAAAATAGATGGTATAATTTATCAGCAATTTCATTTATTTAGCAAAATGTAATACAGTTCCAACCAGCACACCCTATAATAAATGACCAATCCCTAAGAATTTATTTGTTTTGGGGAAATGTGATTGCAGTTCCTTTTGTGTTAAAAGGGTGACTGCAGGGAGTCAAATTGATTGTCCCAGAAAATGTTTTTAAAAATAATTATGATCCCGACAGGGGAAAATAGAAATTGTCTGCTACAAAAATTACACTATTGCAAGGAAGTACTTGTTGAAAAGACAATTAATATCCTAGTTCTCATTGATAAATTATCTTGTCTCCATACAAGATCCCACCCTGGCTTGTTGAAATAGTTATGGTGCTAGGTCATAACCTTAGGCATCAGGTGAGCCAATGAGTATAAGAACAAATTTCAGGGCACAATACTGACAAATTAGCGACTCGTATGCCGACACAGGTAATTTGAAAAAAATGGAAAACAATGAATGAAAAGGTACTTCATCATTTGATGTTGTATTTACAGATAATGTTGATTTCGGGTAGACTGCAGTATTTGGGGCACCACACCAGAGCGAATCATTTCCAAGCTGGTTACCACTGCACCCTCTGAGCCAAATATCAGCTTCACCTGTACCCACACCCTACAGACTTGACATGGATTAGCATAGAAACTGCCCAGGTTTTGTCACATGAACAATCCATTCAAACTACAGGGGTTCGCCCAGAGAGCGGAAGGTCGCGGGTTCGATCCCCGACTGCGTCATACCAAAAGACGTTAAAATATGGTACTTGTTGGTTCCTGTCTGGCGCTCGGCATTAATGGGTACAACAAGGACTGGTCGGCTCGGAGTCAGAATAATGTGTCTGAGTGGGGTATTCATGCTTCACTGCGGCATGGTATCTCATTGGGCTAGCACTATAAAACCAGCTTCAGTCTGGGCTAATACAAGCAGCCGTACATACATATACACACGCATGCACGTCGTCATATGAGCGAAATATTTTCAAGTACGACGTTAAACCCAGTTTCACCTCACCTCAGACTACAGGGTCACAGCTTAACCCACCGATAATATTTCATGTTCACTCACAGTCATCTACTGTATCTTAGAATCATCATCTCACTCAGCTCAAAAACATCAATCTGAAACAAGTGTCAAGTTTAAAACCAAGTCAGACCAAGATAAGAAACGTAAAGATGTTTCAGCATGACCACGCCTCAAAAGGTTCAGACAGCCAAGTCCAAATGTTTAACAAGTTTCAATGTGAAATCTGAAATATAGCAGTTCAACTGCTGCAAAAGGTGTGTTCATTTTAGTGATTGTGGAACAATTTGACAAATAGCAACTAGCCAGATAGGTTGTGGAACCATTTTACATGTAGCAATTAGCCAAGTGGATCAGCATTATATGATCAGTGTGTGTTTACACAGATGTGCACAAATATGAACAGATTATTATTTGAAATGAAATGAAATGACATGACTTCACCTTTTCATTTCAGTTATTTGAAGAGAGGCCTATCTGGTCCAAAAATGGTATCCGGTGCAACCTGCCTTTGAAGTACCACCCTAGATTGAAATATGTTCTACCATTGGTGGCTTACTACTTTTGTAATGGACCTTGGAGAACTTTATGGGTCAAGTTTGGATATGATCCACGCAAGGACAGAAATGCAAAAATGTATCAGATCCTTGATTTTCGACTGAGGCAAAGTGAGTATTGGTCATCTATGTTTGATGTGTGATTTGTTTGTCATATATACTTCACCTCTTGATTTGTTACTCCTGGTGGGCTGTTTAGCTTCAGTCATGGAAAGTGAGTGGTTCATCGTTGTCTGCAGACACTGGTCAAGTTTGTTAGACTCTTTAATCTTAACCAACTAAATTTCTAGCACACTTCTTAGCCGACCAGCTGGCTTTTTTTAAGAGTGGGTGAATTCAAACATCCGCGACTTCATTAAACAATTAAGAATTGAAACCAGTCTATTTTTAAACTTATCCTATCTCACGGTATGCACCTCTCCTCTTCTTCTACGACCATGTGTGGAAACGTGCTGTAGGCTAAGTTGAATCAAATCTTACTGGCCTCTGACCCCCCTGACCTCTGCCCCCACTCCGACATCAGCACCTGTCAATCATCTCCATAAGCGTGCAGCTCGCTGAGATGATCACGTGACTACCTGTGCCTGTCATTCTCTTTCTTGTCGCATTTCGTGTGGACGTGTGCTTCTCTCTAAGAAAGTTTGATTGTGTTTCAACATGTTTCATGGGTAAATCGAATCGTAATGGTTCTAAGAAGCGCAAACACTGTGACAATTGTATCAGTAATTTCTCAGCGGCGGACCCACATGCTTTATGTGTAGACTGTTGAGGTCGTTGTGATTGGTCTCAACGTTGCACTTTCTGTGCTGGCCTCGACGACAATGCTTTCTCTGAATATCGTCGGGTAGCTTGTAGACGCATGTCAGATAGGGATTGCCGGAACCCATCTGTAGGTCCGTCTGCGTCTGAACGTCCTAAGGCAGAACAGTTGTGCCAGTCAGTCGTGAGTTAAGAGATTCCTTAACCAAAACCTCTACGTCACGTAATCTAAAAGTGTTTGATCTGGCAACATCTCCTTTGACAATACCCCATATCATTTCAATGGGGTTAAGGTCACAGGGATAGGGCGGAAGTCGCAGAATATCATGACCCTTACTTTTTATGTAACTGTAAACTTTGTAGAAAGGTTCACCTTCGTGGGTTTTTATGATCTCATATAGCTGAGGCTTCGTTGCCTTTGAAGGCTGTGCGATCTGAAATTTGTCGAGCCATGATATCATATCACCTTTTTGACTGTTCGATGTCGGGGCTTTACTGTCGGGGTCCTGCATGCTGTGGTATGGGGCATTGTCCATTACGATAAAAGACTTCTCTGGTAGAGCTGGTACAAACTTGTTTTTAACCAAAACGAGGAAAATCGCACCATTCATCTCGGAATGGTAGTCTCTGTTATCTGTGGACTTTGCCCTGAATACCAAGTCGCAGCCTGAGAGAAAGCCTTTGCTGGAGCAACCAGCATGGAGAATGATTAGTCTCTCTCCTTTCCCTAGAGGCAGCTTTCTACGTGACCCCTTATCACCCCCATCGGGTACCCACTGACTGCTGGCAGTGTGCGAGGCATTGACCCAGGTCATTGACACTGGCTCGAACCCTTCCTTGCTGTTCTTTATAACCCTGAGAAACTTATTTCTCAAGCGAACGATATCAGGGCGTTCACAGAGTACTGACCTATTCTCCCCCGAAATATAACGATACCCGAAAGAGTGTAAGAGTCGCCAGAGTGTTTACTTTGATACTTTGAGGTTGTGTTCTTGCTTCAAGTGCTTTTTAAAAATTTTCAGCGACATGTGTTTGTTTTCAGAATAATAGAGCTTGTTGATAGACTGCCTTACAAGGTTCTTTTGAAAGTTGTCCAAATGTTTTAATTTGTGTGATTTTGACATGACCCCTACCTGCTTCGCATCACCCTCACAATGTTTGTGTTCCTGAACATTTGTCAGTACCATTGCTGATACTCCTAAAGCTTTTGCTGCCTGCTTACGGAATTTATTAATGGCATAAAATGGTTTGCCCCTTTCGGCTTCAGCACGGAAAAAATCATACACTTTAATCATCAACTGTTTCACGTCAGCATTCAATTTCATTTTTCATCAGGCATGTGTATCCTGTGCACGACGAGATAGTGGCTGTTCTGTTTCTGTGGTTTCACCCCGCCGCGACGGATAACAACTTTTGCGTTTTCAATGATGATAGTTTCTTAAGCAACTTTTTGGGTGGAGTCCGGAAAATTTTCAAATATGAGAAAGCTGTTGGATATTAGTAAATGATAAACATGTGTACTATTTATATTTCTGTGGCAGTTTTGTACAATGATCAAATTTGCAGTTCATCGGGTCCGTTTCTGACTCAAACCGACTGCACATCTGCTATTCAACCCCGTCCGCCTTCGGTGGTAACTGTTTCTCAGCACCCTTCTGGTCCTACGGTGGGTGTTTCTTATGCGGCGCTTGGTGTGGTTCCTAATGTTACTTCTCATATGCCGCTTACTTGCAGTTCGGCATTTTCTACTTCGGTGGTTGGTTCTGCTTCTGCTTTCCATTCGGTGCATGTGTCTACGGTGACACTTGGTTCTGGTACAGTGGATAGTTTCGGTTCGGCTCTTTCTCAACCTCCGGTGGAGTCGACAAGTTTGCTGATGATTCCCCGTGCAACCTTTTCCACATCTATCCCTTATCCTGTACCCTGTGGTTACGGACCACCACTTTATTCTAGTGCGTCGCTTTCCTCCGAAGCACCGTTTACAACGGGACAGGTACCTGTTTGTAGAGTGCCGCTTGGTCCCGATTCGATGCTTTCAGTTAGAGCTCCACTTGTTTCCAGTTCGGCGCTCTTGTTTCCTCCCGGTTCAGCGCTTACTCGGGGTGCTCCCAGTTCGGCGCTTACTTACGGTGCTCCCAGTTCGATTCTTAGTGCTTCCAGTTCAGCGCTTCCTCACAGAGCACTGGCTTCAGTGCTTTCAGTTGGGTGCTTTCAGTTCGGTGTTGCTCAGGGTTCAGCGCTCACTTCCAGTGTGTTTGGTTCGGCGCTTGGTACACTCAGCTCAGCTCTGGCTTTCAATACGTCGCTTCCTACCTGCTCGATGCTTGTTTCTTCTGATGCTTTGGTTCCTGGTGCTCCGCTTATTCCCAGTGCACCGTATGTTTCCTATGCGTCTTCAGCGGTGGGAGCGCCACTTTGTGGGAGTACTACTGGTTCCTCGGCTTTACAGCATCAGGCGCCAGCGTCTTCCTCTGCTATTCAGTCTTCTGGTCCTACAACCACTCCAGCTCAACCTTTGGTGGATGTTCATCGTTCGGCTACGCCATCTCCTTCTTCAGATGGTACGTCGCCTTCGGATGTTAGTGTTGATGCTGTGGACACTCCTCAATTACTAGTTTGGATTGCTGATAGCCTCCGACTACAGCGTAGTAGTTCGCCCTTCGGATTTGTTATCCAGCTTTGACATGAAGCCAGGTGATTGTGGTTCTATCACTTTCCCGCCTCGCCGTAGTGTCATTCAATTGGCAGCGTCTCTGGATGAGGCATTTTGTAACCTGAGGAAGGATAAGATGGGTTCGCGGCTCCCCGCTTCAATCTAGCATCTGCTTATGTTCATGGCTTCTCTACCCTGATCCTCTCCCCTCCGGTGGATGATGATATTACGTTGTTGGGAACCAAACAGAAAGCCTACTCGACGTTCCTGGTCGAGGATCGTGAGCTGTTGCATTTGGATGGTGTCATCAGGAAGATTATGGCTCCACTCAACATAGTGTTGACAACTACTGAGGCGGTGACCATTTTGGATCAGCTGACTCACTTCTTTTCGTACGTCACAGCTATGCGTCGCAGGGGGCCTCTGCACTTATCCTCATGGGATGATAGGTTCCGCACAGACCTTTTTTGTCAGCCGTGGTCTGGCAGGTCTTTTTTCAACGGGGGCGATTAGGGATGTCGCCAGTTGGTCAAGATGCTCATTTACAAGTGTCAGTGGAATTGTTGAAATTCCAATGTTTGCAGGTGGAGGACTCGTTGAGCCAGCAACGGCCTGCCCATTATGTTCCTTCTAATCCAGACCTTCATTCGGGTTTTGCTGTTTCCTTTCGTGGAAATGGTTCCTTCAGAGGCCGTTCCAGTCGTCAACGTCAGGCATTCACTGCTTCATGACCAGCTTCTGCTTCCGACCAGTCCTCCTCTCAACGACATGACAAACAGTGACTTTCTGACATTAGAGCACGACTGGGTTCTTCCACCTCCAGTCGTGCCCATCAAGACCTCCCCAGTAGGCGGAAGACTTGGGTCTTATGCTCCCAACTGGATCATCTTGGGAGACCTTTACGCCCTCTCCACGTTATCCAAGGGGTTCCAGCTGCCGATCATCGGGGATCCTCCTCTCACTTTACTTCCGGATCACAGAACGTATCCCGCTCTGCAGACGTCTGTTCTTCGATCCACAATAGCCACCTTAATCCAGAAGCTTGCGATAGAATCCCTGGATCTGACCCCGATCGACCCGGGGTTCTATTCTCCAATCTTTTTGGTTCCCAAGAAGGATTCGGACAAGTTGAGGCTAATCTTCAACATGAAGGTCTTCAACAAAATGTTTCTGCAGCCTCCGCCCCCATTTTGCATGGTGTCGGTGGCCCTACTCAAGTAGTATTGTGACAACACTGAAAGCATCTACAAGTAATGTTACTATCCAGGCACCTTTTGCTAAAAAGCTCAGCGCCTTAGACAGCTCACCCTCCTTGCCACTTTGCCATCATCATGAATGATTTTATAATACACCAGAGAGAGTCAAACAAGTTTCCTGATGATGGTGTCCTGTTTATAGAGGTTTTATTTGTGACCAGGTTATGCAATTGGCTGATTGGTGACAATGCCATACTTTCTATCAACAAAGCACCACCAGCTTTTCTATTCTTCCAGTATGCAGTGATACACAATTGCTGTTACCTTGATCAAGATTTCATACTGGCTTACCATTCCATGGCTGCATGAAACTTATCTGGTTGGACCAAGATAGTCACTTGTATCTTAGAAAGGAAGAGTTTTTACCCCAAAATATTGGTTACGTCAGCAAAACATATATACAAGGCATATAAAGAAACTGTGCATACAAAAATTTTAAATCTAAATTTATCAAACCTGCGTAGACACAAAAGGGTTTAAACTCAGAGATTACTGACATGTATCCAACATGCATGCACGTGCCACGTTCCGTGACGGCAGTGGGTTCATCCTTGAGACGTGCAATACGTTGTTGCACGTGCATTCCGGGAAAGAGAAACAGAGCAAATGAATGCCACACAATAATGTCACTTTGGAAAGCTCAACCCCTGACCTTGCGATCGTTCAAAAAATTAAACGGCTATTGAAACGCATAGCATGCCAAGGCTCATGTCTGCACAACGTCATGAGGCCATTGGGATGGTCCGTGGGGGAATGTCTCAACGACAAGTGGCTGCACATTTCCACTGCCACCGGAACACCATTTCTGCACTGGTGAGACGCTACCAGAACACAAATGACGTCATCGATCGGCCACGTTCTGGACGTCCACGTGTAACAACAAGACAGGACAGATGGATTAGGGTGACCCATCTTCGCCACAGGTTTCAGACTGCAGTGATGACCGCCTGAACCATCCCAGGGCTTTGCCGTATCCACCCCAACACAGTTCGACAACGTTTACGCCATCACGGGATCAGACCACGACGTCCCACCATACAGCCTATCCTGACACAACGTCATCGACAAGCTTGCCGAATGTGGTGCCGAAATCATGTCCGCAGACCCTTGTTTTGGTGGAGAAATGTTGTTTTTACAGATGAGTCCAGGTTTAACATTTCCTATAGTGATGGACGTCAACTTGCCTATAGATGCGTGGGAGAACGTTATGCACAGGCCTGTGTCTTGTAGAGGAATCGCTTTGGTGGTGGTTCCGTGATGATTTGGGGTGGAATAACAGCACGCCAAATAACTCCTTTGGTGATTGTTCATGGCAACTTAACTGGTGTGGGCTACAGGGATCAGATTCTTCGACCTGTGGCAATTCCTATTCTGCAACGTCATGGCCCTGGGTTAACATTTCAACAGGACAATGCCCGCCCTCATACGGCAAGGGTTGCTATGGATTTCTTGCAACACAAAAACCTTAACTTACTGCCTTGGACTGCAAATTCACCGGATCTCTCCCCGGTAGAGCATGTTTGGGACGAGATGGATCGACGTCTAGGCCGTCTTCCTCATCCGCCAGATAACGTCCTTGACCTTGCAACAGAACTTGAAAGAATCTGGCGTGACATCCCACAAGCTTTCCCTTGCACATTTGATAGGCTCTATGCATCGTCGATGCACTGCTGTTCTCAATGCCGATGGTGGACATACCCGTTATTGAGCTTGTGACATGGTCGTTTGACCCCTGTCCCGTTTGTGGACTCGTGACGTCATTGTGATTGACTTTTCAATTAAAATTCTCCCAACTTGTTATGGTCTCATGATCCCTCCATTATAGTTTGTATGTACCTATAACATTGTTATCGTACTTATCAACTGGGATAATATTTTGACAATGCACAGTTTCTTTATGTGGCTAGTATAGAATCAGTAGGGCAAACTTTGGGCTCATTCCCACAGTAGAGTTAAAAGTGTTTTGTGAACATTTGCTCACATAAATCATCAGATTGAGCACCGTACAGTACATTTTTTGCTTATACGTTGGCCTTGGTCAAGAGTCAGTTTATGTTCCATCCGAATTAGGTTTGTCCAATCATTGTTTTATCTTGTTTTAAATACGACCAAAACATAAAAACTAGTCAGGATGTTGGATGTTGGAGAAGTGTCTTGCAGACTGGGCATTATTTTCTCAAAGTTACATATATAGCCTTATAAGCAGGGAGGTGACATTATGCCTTGGCAGACTTTTACAACTGCCGAGTGGAAGCGAGACTTATTCAAGTAAAATTGAACATTTTGGCAGACAGGCTTTCCCAAAAGATCAGTATTGTGGCTTTTTCTTCCAAATATATTTGCTTAGATCATAAAATGTAATCTACCTCACACATCAATCTATGCCTTCAACTACCTGTCTCTGTAAATCCTGTATTGGATCCAGTTCTTGTTCTAGTTTGGTGTTCTGTCAATGGACTGGTCATAAATGTTGCTTACATTTTCATGCTTCGGGCTGCCCAAGGTGATAAGGAAGACAGAACTAATTATTGTGATAGCTCCAGTTTGGTCCATTTAGCCATAATTTCCCAGTCTATTATCTCTACACATGGAAGAACTGTTAATGTTTTCGTAGGGATCTTCGAAAACAGTCAAGGTTGAACCAAATTTACAAAATCTCAAGAGCTTTCACTTAATTGCCTGGGAGTTTATTACATACAAGATACATAAATTTGGATTGTCTGAATCTTCATCTAATGTGGTGACTTTATGCTGCCTTTGAAAAGGTTTTCCCCGCCACAAAAGACTCTCATTGTCTGCAAGAAAGAGATTATTTTTTCGTAACTATCAGTCATGGCACCCAAGGTAACATTTTGTTTTCATTTTGCAGGGGGAGCAGCTGAGAAACTGGAAATTGGTGGAAAGCGAAGTGCCTTTGACTACAAGCTACCCACAGTAAAGTCCAGATCACAGATGAAAATACCAAAAATTCACACATCAACATTAGGAGCTGAGGGTATGGATCCGTCGGATAAAACTCAAATTTTGGTAAGCAGCAGGCATGGAAGAATCGACTAAAATATTTGTTCAGGTTATGGAGATAAAAAGACAGAAAACAATGCACCATGTGGTTAAAAGCAAAATCAAGCAGAACTGTTGCTGTTGTTTTTTATCAATGCTTTGTATCATAAATTCATCCAGAGCATAGTGCCAATTATTAAACTTATTATATTTCATGTTTTGAATATTCCCTTCTGACTATGGACTATCCTTAAACAAAAGTTTCCATCCTCCAGTAACACCTTGTCTGAGCATACCTCAGCTTCATCTGTTCTTGTAGGCTGTCATCATTGGCCTTTGTGTCACCACAACCCATTGTTAACCAGTTGACATTTTCAAGACAGGTATTTGCTAATATGGGGGATATCGATGACTTTGGGCTCTTGTTTTTATATAATGATCGTTTTTGTATTTGACATTTTGATAATATTTTTTGTGCCACAATGCATCCAAAAATGTTTCAATAGCTTAGCTTGCAAGTTAAATGTCCTTAGTTGTCACTCTGTTTCATATCCCAGCTGCTGTTATGCCTCAAAAGACTTACTGTTGTCATAATGTTGGATTTATGCATGTTTTACCTTCTGTTCATAGAACATGTATCTGTAACAAATCATGTCAGTCATGGGACTTCTATTGACTTTCGCCCGTCGCAATATGGCTGACACATTGCCGATGTGATGTTAAATATTAACTCACTCACTCACTATTGACTTTTGATATAGCATATGAAATTAAGCATGTCTCTCAAAATAATTCTTTGCAACAAGTTCGAGGTCAAATTGTAGATTTAGTGTACTATTGCAGAGATGCCAACATCTATGATTTTATCATAGTCGCTACGAATGTTAACCTCAAACTACTCCAAAACGAATGGACTAGAAATTCTACGAAATGTGAAGAAAATTCGTTAAAATTTGGATATCTAGACAGAAACTTATATTTTCATTGATTAAATACATTTTTGACAAAAAGAGACGACAACGAGAAATGTAATGCTGATAATTTTGAAGTCTGCTTTTGGAGGTATGTGAAATTAAAACTTCACTCTTGATTTGTGGCATATCATCTTTATCTGACTCCATTATGATTTTAAGTATTTAGTTGACTACTAATTTTGTGGTCAAACTACTATTGTTGATCTTTGAAACTACTGTTTGCAACACTTTGGGGTTGGCATCTCTGCTATTGCTGCAAGTCAGATGATCTTTCCTCAAACCACTGTGCTGCCTTGTGTGTTCACCATGTGTTTACATTACAGGAAAGTACCTACATGTTTGAGCCAGATGTATTGCCGCCATACAGACAGATGTTCTACCAGCTGTGTGATGTCCATGAAGATCAGATACAGAAGCTACTTCATCAGAATGATGGTCAAGTATGTAAACATACCTACTCATGTAGTCTCCCTTAACAATTACTCAATTCATAGGAATCTCAACCATGATACAGATTTCTCCCGCTAGACTTTGATGAAATGATGTAACTGGAAAATAGATACAAATTTCTCTGAGCGCATTGTTCACTTTTACCATCATCTCACTAACTGTTGCCAACTCATGGCCACAAAGTCCTTATGTAACTATGATCTTCATCCACATCATGTGTTGAGCACACTCACATCCTTGATTGTGTTGTCAATCTGGATATGTCGTCCACATTGTGTGCTGAGCATACTCACATCCTTGATTGTGTTGTCAATCTGGATATGTCGTCCACATTGTGTGTTGAACATACTCACATCCATGATTGTTGTCAGTCTGGATATGTCGTGCACATTGTGTGTTGAGCATACTCACATCCTTGATTGTTGTCAATCTGGATATGTCGTCCACATTGTGTATTGAGCATACTCACAACCTTGATTGCTGTCAGTCTGGATATGTCGTCCACATTGTGTATTGAGCATACTCACAACCTTAATTGTTGTCAATCTGGATATGTCGTCCACATTGTGTGCTGAGCACACTCACATCCTTGATTGTTGTCAATCTGGATATGTCGTCCACATTGTGTATTGAGCACACTCACATCCTTGATTGTTGTCAATCTGGATATGTCGTCCACCTTGTGTGTTGAGCATACTCACATCCTTGATTGTTGTCAATCTGGATATGTCATCCAAATCGTTTTTTGATCGTACTCACATCCTCGATTGCTGTAAGTCTGGATATGTCGTCCACATCGTTTATTGATCACACTCGCAACCTTGATTGTTGTCAGTCTGGATATGTCGTCCACATTGTGTGCTGAGCATACTCACAACCTTGATTGTTGTCAATCTGGATATGTCGTCCACATGGTGTGTTGAGGATACTCACATCCTTGATTGTTGTCAATCTGGATATGTCGTCCACATTGTGTGTTGAGCATACTCACAACCTTGATTGGTTTCAATCTAGATATATCGTCCACATTGTGTGCTGAGCACACTCACAACCTTGATTGTTGTCTGTCTGGATATGTCGCGTCCACATTGTGTGTTGAGCATACTCACATCCTTGATTGTTGTCAATCTGGATATGTCGTCCACATTGTGTGCTGAGCACACTCGCAACCTTGATTGTTGTCAGTCTGGATATGTCGTCCACATTGCGTGCTGAGCATACTCACAACCTTGATTGTTGTCAATCTGGATATGTCGTCCACATGGTGTGTTGAGGATACTCACATCCTTGATTGTTGTCAATCTGGATATGTCGTCCACATTGTGTGTTGAGCATACTCACATTCTTTATTGTTTCTCAATCTGGATATGTCCACATTGTGTGCTTAGCATTCTCACATCCTTGATTGTTGTCAATCTGGATATGTCGTCCACATTGTGTGCTGAGCATACTCACAACCTTGATTGTTGTCAATCTGGATATGTCATCCACATGGTGTGTTGAGCATACTCACATCCTTGATTGTTGTCAATCTGGATATGTCATCCACATTGTGTGTTGAGCATACTCACATCCTTGATTGTTGTCAATCTGGATATGTCATCCACATTGTGTGTTGAGCATACTCACATCCTTGATTGTTTTCAGTCTGGATATGTCGCGTCAACAATGTGTGCTGATCACACTCACAACCTTGATTGTTGTCAATCTGGATATGTCGTCCACATTGTGTGCTGAGCACACTCACAACCTTGATATTGGGGAATTGCAGATCCCTTTTCTGCGGATTTAGTTTGAGTTTTGGAGTTTCTGTAGTCTCGTTTGGAAGAAGGTTTGGTGGCTTCGACCATTTGTGGCTACTCCACCGCTATTTCCACCTTTCACACCCCTGTCGATGGTGCTCTTCTGGGGCAGCACCTTCTTATGCAGCACTTCCTAGCTGGCATGGATTGGGTTCGACCTGCTCTCAGGCAAACCAGCCCACCTTGTGATTTGGCAGTCATACTAGATTGACTGTCCGGTCCTACTTTCTCACGTCTATCTGCTATTTCCATTCAGCAGTTAACATGGAAGACCATTTTTCTGGTGGTGGTGACATCTGGGAGAAGGGTCAGTGATTTACATGCTTTGTTGGCAGACCCGGCGCTGACTGTGTTCCATCCAAATCGTGTCAGTATTCGCCTCTCAGATAGTTACCGTCCGAAGATCGATCACGCTTTCCATTTGACAGCTCCTATCGAAATTCTTACTCTTACCCACGAGCACTCACCCGTTGGACGTCTGTAAACCCCTCAAGGTCTGTATCAAACGAACACACAAGGGATCTGTACGGGTACCAATCTGTTCTGCTGTTACGGTGGTGGGAATGCTGGGGCTCTTACCAGCAAACAGACACTTTCTTGCTGGCTTGTGTCGGTTATTTGTGCTGCATATGAGGGTTTGAAGGCTCACTCGGTCAGGGCAGTTGCCACTTCAAAAGCATTTGCAGCGGCACTGCCCATCGAAGAGATTTGCTCTGTTGCTATTTGGAGCCGGCCTAGCACTTTTGTACGGCACTATCAGCTGGATACACACTCCCGTGATCGAGCACGCTTTGGCCATTCCGTTCTCTCCAGTGGACAGTGTCCTGCCACCCTGACCGAGTGAGTCTTGGTTATTCGGTTTCTAGAGATGCTGTATTCAATTGTTGTTTCATTGACATATCCGCTGTTGATTCTTGCCAACTTTTAATCACTTGGTTGAAATTTTCAGTTGTGAGTTGTAGTTTCCCCCCTTACGATGCTCTTTCTGAGTTTTCACTCAGTGGGCAGGGTTTGTTTACACTGTATATGATGTGTCGTCATGCTAAACTTGATTGAGATTGGCCCTCAGTACGATTTCTCCCTGTCTGGTGACCTCCCATAATGCCTCTCGCAGAAGCTTTGGGGACACGTGACAGGTAAGTGTTATGGCGTGAGTAACTTTTTGTAATTACGAGATCGCTATATATTTATACTGTGACAGAACTCCTTCCTCCCTTGGGGAAGGGCCGCCCACCTCCCCGCAATTATGTTCACTGATTTGTTCAGCAGAAGGAATGATGATACGGGCCTGGGTGCTTACCTGGTTGGCTGTGCATGCGTAGCAGGGAGGTAACTCCACGTGGTGGGGGTCCGCATAATAAATAAAAAAGATTCAGCTTGAGTCCATGATCTTTCAAACGTTGAAACACTGCTTCTAACCTTTCCTTGTGTTCTTCAAAAGTATAAGAGAATATGATTTTGTCGTCCAGATATATCAGACATTCTTTTAGATTCAGATCTCCCATGCACTTTTCCATCAATCTCTGAAATGTCGCTGGCACATTGGTGAGACCAAACGGCATCCTGTTACATTCATAAAAACATAGTGGTCCTACAGAAAATGCAGTTTTCTCCTTGTCCTCTTCTTCAAGCTCCACTTGCCAGTATCCCTCTCGAAGGTCAAGCTTAGCACCAGACAAGCTTTTGACTGAAGGTATGAGAAGAATCTGTGGTAGATTGCCACTGCTCGCTTCAAACGATGCAATGACGAATAATGGTTCACAAGCCTTTGAGCAGCATCAATATCTTGGACGTCAACATGAAACTGTACCATTCCAACCAATCCATGACTCTCACATTCAAAGACAGGCCACTCAGATTCAGTACTTCTAAGGAAATCAGGTCCATGGAACCAAGCTGTTGACTTTAGGAACTGCTTGCATCTTGATCCACGAGAAGCAATATCTGCTGGATTCCGCCTAGTGTCAATGTACTTCCACTGCTGAGGAGAGGTGTAATCCCTGATCATCTTGACTCTGTTTGCTACAAATACAGGATATCTGTTACGCTCATTACAAATGTAATGAAGAACCGTTGTTGAGTCAGTATGATACATAATGCTGTCAATGTCAATATCTGATTCCTTGAGCAAAAACTGGCCCATTTTCATTGATGTCACTGCTGCAGTAAGCTCAAGTCTTGGAATTGTCAAAGTTTTCAGGGGTGCTAGTCTGGCTTTACCCATCACCAGGGAGGTATGAATGTTGTCCTTGTTATCACATAAACGGAGATATGCAGCACACCCATAGCCTGAAACACTGGCATCAGAGGAAACATGCAGTTGACTTGAAACAATATTTCCAAAATCTTGTGGTTTGAGACAACGTTTGACAGACAAACCTTTCAGAGATTCCAACTCAGAAAGCCACTGTTACCATCTCTGCTTGTGGTCATCATCAACTTCACCATCCCAGCCGAGAGATTTATCATTACAGAGATTTTGGAGAATCTTCTTTGCTGGCAGCAAGATTGGAGAGACAAGTCCCAGTGGATCGTACAGAGAGGACATTGTAGACTAAATTCGTCTTCTGGTTGTTGGTTTCTGAGGCAGATCTACCAAAAACCTGATACTATCCATCATGACATCCCATTGCATACCAAGTGCTCTTTCCATTGGAATATTCTATTTCCATTTCCATTGCTCAGATCTATAGTGTGTACTTCTTTGGAACAATGCTTACAAGGAATAGGTGAGAGAACCTCTTTACTATTGCAGGTAAACTTGGTGAGATTGAAGCCACTTTCTGCACATACTGACTGTAAATCGGATATCAGTTTTACTGCAGTCTGACCATCCTTTACAGATTTAAGACAGTCATCCACTTAAAAATTATGCAGAATAATTTGGAGAACATCATCACCATCATACCTGTCCTTTGCCAATTCCTTCAGCGCTTAGTTAGCAATGGTTGGGGAGGATATGGTTTCAAAGGTGTGGACAGTCATTCTGAACTCCTTCAGTTCCCCTTGAATATTTCTATTGGGCCACCAGAAGAATCTGAGAAAGTCTTGCTGTTCTTTTGGCGCCTTGACTAGGTGGAACATTGCTTCCACATCTCCCATGAGTGCCACAGCTTCTGAACGAAACCTGGTGAGAACTCCAACTAATGAATTGCCAGATCTGGTCCCAGGAGAAGAACATTGTTAAG